AAATCCCATAGAAATCTGTGGAAAGAGCCGGGGAAATGGCTTCGCGCTACACGGACTTTGGCTATTGGCAGTTAATTAATTGAATTCTGTTCAGTAACGTGTTGCAACTGACTGCAATTGCAGCAAAAACTTTTCCAACGTCGCGTTGAAGGGGGTGGAAAATGTGGAAAAGTGGGTGGAGAAAAAGTATAAAAGTGGGCCGTGGGAGTCTGCGAGTTTGGTCAAGTTGCGTAACAAGTTTTGGCGCATAAAGTCATTAAAGTTTTCTGATTCGATTTGGCATCTTATCCCTTTCATCCGTTTCCCATTTTTTAGACTTCCTGCCCTCCGGTCTCAACTTTCTTTTCTAAGCTTACAAATTAATGACGCTCGAACGCAAAGTTTTCGGGCCCAAAGGATGGGGAGTCATAAAAAATATATATATGTATATCGTTATACCTGAAAACCGGGAAACCCCAAAAAAGGGTTTTCGCTTTTCGCTTATTTTTTATGCATTATTTATGATTTCCCCGATTAGTCGCGGCAAATAATGTTTTGCTCAGCACAAAAAAAAATATATTGTCAAACCTTATGCGGGCTGTCCTCTTATTTTTCCCCCCAAATTTTCTTTGAGGAAAAATTTGTGTGTGCTAAGCCAGCGAAAATTCCACCATGCCAAAGGGGATTTGCAAATGGTTTTCGGTTTTCCGAATGTGGGTTTTCTTTTTTTTTTCTGTGACACTCTTATCAGTCAGAAAACATGCACAAATAAAGCTATTTTTATACTTGACACTTAAAAGGTATAAAGAGTTCTTATTTACATATAATAAAGGTATTTAGTTGTATTATTTAAGTATACATTTTTAAGGTTATGTTTAGGAACACAAAAGACATTAAATACCTCTTTTATGTTAATGGAAATCTTTTTCTTAAATGTCTTGGTTTGGTTACATTGTTAAAAGTCTTTAAACCGATAAAGTATCGCTGTTTTAAAAACCAGGGATATGTATTATCTTTGCCTCTTAAAAAAATACCAAATTAATATGATTTTATAGGTTATATATAGGTTTTGAACCACTTAGTTTGTGATATTGTAAAAACATCGATAGTCGCATTTTGAAAACATTTCTGTATCGATGTCCTTATCGATATTTGATCATCCCTGGTCTTCGAGGCTTCGATTGAAAAGTGCAACTAGGTGGCAATACTGGCCAAACATCTGATCGTACCGCCTCGCGGTAGCGTCACATTTCAGCTACGAGAGACGCTGTGAAATTAAGGTTATAAGAGATATACATATATTACTTACCCAAAATTTGGCCAGGACTTGCCCAGGACTTGCAACCTTGATTGAACTGAAGACGAAGCCTTCATTGGAGTGTCCAGGTGAGCGTCTTATTGTGCACGCCTTTACACACACACACACACACGGATTGAAAAAGTCTCGCACAATTGCGTGTGAGTGTGTGTGTAAGCAGAGCAAATTAAGTTAGAGTTATTTTATGATTGCATTAGAGGAAAATTCGAGTAGAACTAGGAAAAGGCCAATAGAGAGGGTGAGCTGATGTTAACAATACGTGGCGCTGTCACTACAACTCAACTTTCCACATCGTTCTCTGCGCTCCATTAATTTAGCACACACACACACACACTAGCATACACACGGGGTTCCCTTCCATCCCCCTTTAGTCAGTGCGTCTGCCACGCCCCTTTGATTGGTCACGTGCTTGGCACGGGTGGTTCCCCCTTTTCTCTCCTTTAACTCCCTCCCCGCCCAGCTTTGGGGGGCTTCAATTCGTTGTGATTGCTTTGTATCGATTACAAAATGCATTACAACATTTGCCACATGATAAATAACAGACAGTAAATGGATATAGCATTGAGGTTATGGCGGTGGGCGGCGGGCGTGGCTGTACTTGAAATTAATGCCAGCGATTGGTAAGCCGATATCAGTGGAGAATCTAGCTGATTGGGATTCCAGAAGGCTTAGTGATTATTTTGTTACAAAATGTAACTTAAACTTGCTTATAGAGAAACATAACCTTTAAGTATTCACTTGCAGTGTGACCAAGCTTTGCTTATTTACATTCCTAAGATGTGTAACTGCCACACTAACTTGTTTATTTAACTCTGAAAGAATATTAGCTGATTTACCTTATTTACCAATCTTTTCTTGATTTATATTTCACCTTCCTGGCATTTAATATCAATTTTCTTGTTAACTTTAGTGTTACCAATTTGTATTTACATTTATAAATTACCACTACCACAAGGCTTGTATACTTCCTTTCGTTTTGAAGCTCCCAGCGGACATTGCAAGGACATTAACCCACACGTGTCTGTGTGAAGAGCGGGGGTTGGGTTTCTTTGAAAGAAAAATAAAATGCAATTGCGTGATTATTGAGCGATTTGTATCAATTTACCGAGACGTAGGAGAGGCCAGCGAAAAGCTGCCTCAAATGTTTATTTATGCAATTCACTTGCTTATGCCATTGCGACGTCGTGGGGGGAATGATTATTGATATCTGTATCCCATACGTGCTCGAACCCCCTTCCCTCTTGCCACTTCCCCCTGGATATATAAACATATATATAGATATAGAAACTTGTGGCAAGCGAAAACTCTCTGGGGAGGATTGCAGCTCAAGACATTTGTCGCAACGTGCGAAAACTTTTGCCGAACAAGTGTCTCCCCTACCAGCACACTTGTTAGCTTCTCAAGTTTATTAAAGTGGCATAAAAGTGTCATTGGCGTCTAATGGACAACGATTAGTCGGAAAGAAGCCTCCGATCCCCCCAAGAATTACTCCAGAACTAAGTTCAAGTCGAAATGCTAAAACCCATAGCAATCTTTTTTCACTTCCGGGAAAGAACGTAATTGAATGGAGGCAATCTTCAAAAGGGGAAAGTTCATTGAATCAAGGAATCGTGGGGAATGAGTCTTAAAGTTATATCTAAGATATGGTATTTGTATTTCAAAGAAATGGTTTGTTAGAGGCTTATGAAAGATGTATTAATTTAAACTGCTTAATTGATTTATTAATCAATGAACATTACTTGTTTTCTTAGACTGTTTTAAAGCTCCTCATACTCCTTTTAATTAAGTTAATATTACTATTTATTTTACTATTATATTGATATTTCTTTTACTCCTTTCAGTAAAGAGTTCTTTTTAAAAATAATTGTTATGTTAGTTTGGCAGCTTATCGAATGTCTCCCCCTTTCCTTGCGTTATAACAACTTATCGATATTAAACTTGGCTTCTTTAATGGCTCGAGAAAGAAGAAAACTTCTCTGGGGGGAAGAGAAAAAACTTATTGAAAAGTCATAAAAAGCATAAAATACCAAAATGGCTCAAGACAGAGTAAAGTGGCAAGGAGCAAAGCCATAGGAGCTCTGCTCTGCTAAAAGGACATCAACTGGGGGAAAAGCATTGAAATGGTTTTCCACCCTTTTTTGTAAATCATTTAACACGCTCTCGATTTTTATTTTAATGACATCTTGGGCAAAGTTCCATAATGGCTATAATGTGCAGCTAAGGCATAATGGAAGGCGGCCTCTGGTGCTTTTTGGGTATCCATCATGGGGTCCTTGTGCTGTGCAAATTTTCTCCATGCATTGTTGATGATGTTGAGGCGTGAAAAAGGCATCCAGCTTCCAGGATATTCGCAACCTGTGCCTGTGTTAATGATCATCATGAATATTCCGGCATTTGTTTGTTTGTTTGCTCACCATGTTTGTTCAGCCAAAATGTTAATATTCCCAGCCAAAAACTAAAACTAAAACTAAACCTGAACCTGAACCTGAGCCCCCTGGCGGCATAGTCGCTGGTGAAAAGAGAGCCACTAAATATTTGATTCACTTTCCGGGAGCTGCTCCATGTGTGTGTTTGTGGAATCAACTTAATTAAAGTTAAACAAGCAGCTAATCAAATTTTATTACACAGTCTTGGCCACAGGATGTCCTTACCTTACCTTTCCCTTTACCTCGCCTAAACGTGGCGTAATTTCATTTTAAAAATGCATACTCTCCAAACTCCAAAGGGGAAAAGCCACCGAAAAGGATTGTCTCCCCTTTTGTATTTCTCTTTCTATTATTTTTTTTCTATTTTCCCTGCTAGGGGAGTTAGTGGAAATGGTTTGTGCGGATTTAATAGGAAAAATGTAGTTTCCGCTCTTTGTTTGGATATTAAAAAGGAGGGAACTGTTGTCAGGGAAAATACTCTACAGCTATTTAAACATGGAAATCTAGGAAATATATTCAGAAAGACATAAAAACAAACAAAGAGATATTAATTTATAAGAGAAAATATGAAAACTTAAAGAATATTTAGCGGAACTTTCCCAAAAACCTTTTTTTTTAATTTAAAGATGCAGTAAACAAAGAATATTCCTTAAAATAAACTTCATTTGATGTTAGTTGAATACTTTCCTAGGAAAACTTCCTCCAAAACCCTTTTAAATCAATTAAAATAATTATTTAATCCAAGGGAACTCCTTCAACTGCGCTTTGATTGATCTTGATTTTATATTTATATGAAGAATACCTCTAAAAAACCTTTTAAGGTCATTAAAAGAGAAGAATCTAAAAAATTCCTTTAAAAAGTTCCATTTAATGTTTGTTTAATACTTTCTTCAAGAAAACTTCTGTAAAATGTTCTATAAATTAAACATAAAGAATATCTTCTCTAATAAAAACAAGAATATCCCTTAAACTAAGCTTCGTTTGCTATTTATATTATATTTTCTTAGGAAGAACTCCCCTTAAAAACCCGTGAATTTAATTAAAAGTAAATCTTTTCTCCATCAAGGCAAATTCCTTAAACTTGGCTTCGTTTGCTATTAATTCTGTATTTTCTTAAGAACTCCCCTTATAAACCTTGAAACTCAATCATAAGCAATGCCTTCCTTATAGAAACAAATGAAAATTCCATAACTTGAGCAACGCTTGGCATTCGTTTATTTATTTTCTCAAGAAAAAATAAAGACAAATGATAACAGCAACTCAATTTGAAGTACTGAAGAATCATATACCTTTGTGTCAGTTTCAAATTACAACCACCTTCAAATCGCTGGCAGGGGCATTATGCATCCAAACTTTACGCTCCTCATACTCATCCATATCGCAAAACTCATCCTCGGCGGCCCAGGAGCTGCAATTGCTGGAGTATGTTGTGGGCAACGGTAGAGCCATCAGACTGAGACTCATGCTAATGGGCAGGGATGACATAGAGTCGGTGACCTGGTAGTCCAAACCTATAAAATCCTGGCTGGCCGGCTGCTCCGATTGAGGAGAGGTGATGGCTGATTGCTGCTCCTGAATATCCGGTTCCGGTTCCTGCTCCTGGATCGGCTTCTTCTCCAGCTGCTTTTTGACGGCACTGGGAGAAGAGGAGCTACTGGAGGAGCTGCCAGAAGAGCTACCAGAGCAGCCACAGCAGCCAAAGGAAAGCAGGAGACACATAATTCGGCTCGCAGAACTGTATTTAAACAATTAGTAATTCGTTTATTAATTTATCTTTGATATTTGTTTATATCTCTGTACCTTATCTCTTCTTTAGGTTTTGATTTGTGTGGCTTCGCAGGCGACTTCTTCATCTGAAAGCCTCCAACTGAGTGAGGTTCTGGCATTCCGTGTTGTTTGCTTTTATAGCCGGCATTGCCCAACAAGTTTCAAGTGTTTTTCCCTGCTCGGTACAGTTGTGTTCGCCCGAAAAAAAACCAAAGAACTCGGCAATAAACAAAATGAAACCCAAACCCCGCCACTTTCCCTGGCGACTCATTATGCAAAATGATGTCACTTATGTTAATTTTCAAAATGCACTAGACTCCATTACCAATTTATATATACATATCTGTATATATGGTGCACTGCATATATTAATATGTATTATCGGTATTATCGACATTATCAATGTGGAAGCTTCCACTGACTACCTTATTGTGTTACCAATTTGCGAATGCAAATCAGCAGACGAGCTGAAATTTCACACCAATCGAGCGCCAGTGTTGTTGGCTTGAATATTGAGTGAAAATGTCAGGCGGAAGGAGTAGGTTGGAGGTAGCTCACATCCTCACATCCTCACATCTCATTGGTGGCCATCGGAGCCAGGACTTCGATGTCATCCTCGATGGCAACGGCCGAATGGCGCCGGCCAAAGTTGGAGTAGGACACAAATCGCATCTCTGGGACCACATCGGGTTGCAAATGGATATCGGCACAGATGCTTATGGGTTCCAAATGGGCCGGCGAGTGCGATGCGGCACGACTCGGCCAGGATTCTTCAACTCCTCGCTCGGTTTCCTCCAATAGAAACCTTCTGCAAGGACAATCCTGTACAACAGATGATGATGGCAAACCGTGTTGCTCCTGCTGCTGCTCCTTCTGCTGCTGCTGCTGTTGGTTCTCCATCAGCTGATCCGAAGCCAAGATGGTCTCCTTCTGCTGTTGATCCTTGTGACGTCTCTTTTGGCAAAAGACAAACAATAGCCATTTCTCCAGGATATGCATCTTGTTGGTGGCAGCTCTACTCGATGATTTCTCTATTGCTCTGGGATAGTCCATGGCTTTTATAAGAACAAATCGATGATGATGAGTGAGTGAGTCAGGAAGTTCTTAACCGTTTGTTGTTAGCCAGTTCTGTTTGCTTATCCGACTTGTGCCCAAAGAGATGTTGGTACCAGTTCTTTGTTGTTTTCCCCCCCTTCTCCCTCAGTTTTAACTTCAATTTCAATTAGCATTTTGGACCAACCAAAAAGTTTCAGCACTAATGAGTTTTGTAATTATACGAAAAGTTGGAAAATGAATACAAAAGCTGGAAAGAAAAATCTCCCAGCTCTGCAGGAGTAGCAGGAGCAACAGCGGGTGGTGGATCCTTTAATTTTACATTTCTATATAAATATGTATTTATTTATATATATATAAATTTTTGTGAATGATTTACGCAGATGAAGAAATTGTAAAGCGATAATAACGTAAATGAGAAGGGGAAGGTTTCTCTTTTGCGAGGATGAGCACTAATAGAGGCAAGGTTTCATTAAGCAGCAGTTTAAAATAATTATATACAAAACAGCAGGGCCAAGTTTAGGCACGATTAAATTCATTTTAATGGGAATACTTTCGAATTTTTGTTGCCTTATTTAATGGGAGGTTCATTTGAGTAATTAAAAGTATCAGAAAAGATTAAAAATCACCGATTTAAAAATAGAAATATGGTAAAGTTTTCTTAATCGAAAATTTTGTATATAAAAAAACATTTTTATACCCTTACAGGGTATTCTAATTTCAGTCAGTAGCTTGTAAGGTAGTGAAGGAGTCATTTCCGACCCTATAAATCATATATATTCTTGATCAGCATCAACAGCCGAGTCGATCTAGCTAAGTCTGGTCGAAATAAAATTTTTTGAAATTTTTGCAATATTTTATAAGGGTTTTCATCGTTAATATTGCGTAAAAAAAATTAAGAAAATTTTGATTTTGTATGTTTTAAAATGAGTATGCAGATTTATTGCCCTGCTAAAAACTAACATAGGACAGCTTTTCGAATTAAAATTTATGCATTTTTGGCTTATTTATGATCTTTTCAAATTCGAACCCATGGTTCTATGGCTAACTATAGGGTATAAACACTTCAGCTTCTCGAAATTAGCTTTCTTTCTTCTTTGAACTTTAATTTGTTCAAAAAATTATTAAAAAATAATAAGTATTGGGTTATCGAAGTAACTGCCTCTCTTGTTTTCATATGAAGAAAAAATCATTCACGAGAATGTGATTATATGAAGCATAATAATTACACAATAAGAATTTGAAATTGAAAAAAATATTGATGTATTACACTGTTACACTATTGACATTTCTTTGCCACCTCTTTTTATATTATATTATATATTTCTATATGATTTTCATATTTAGTTTACAGGGTATCTTAAAGCTCTATAAACCATAATTTGTCTTCTGAAATGTTTACTCTACGGGGAATTTCCCTCACTCTTCGCCTTGGCGACTGTGTGCAAACTAGAAAAATATCAATGTCATTTGCAGGAGGCCCTTTGGCCAACAAATTTTTGGGGGTGGAAACAACAACAAAAAAAACAAACAAAAAAATGCAATGTCCGGGAAAGGCAGCGGACTTTGTTACTTGTGTAATGTTAGATGGGTTTTGTGTCTGTTCGGTGATGGTAAATGGCGAGGGATTGGGTATCCGCGGGGCTCTGGGTTCTGAGTTCCGGGGATTGGAGTGTTCTCTCTCTCTCACTCACTCTCTATGTATCTGTCCTGCTCTGGTTCCCCTTTTTGTCAGCCGCATCATTGCGGTTTCAGAACGAAATTTTCGCAATTCCCAGTTGGAGTTTGGTTGTGTTTGTTTATGTCTATGCGTGTGTGTTTGCCCGTATTTTGGGAGTTTCATGTTAAATACCTCTCAAAAAAGAGAAGGCTAAGAGTATGACCTGTTTATAAAATTTCTTAGAAAAAAAAAATAATAATATGCACTTTTAATAAAATTTCTTAGAAAAAATTAATTTCAAAACACTGAGCTTTTTTTAAGTGTCGATAGCAATCGATAGCATCGTTTAGCTAACTTAACACTTCTGGATTTTAATTGTTGTTAGTTAAGGTCACACTGATTTTTGTCACATTTTTGCTTTCTGAAAAAAAAAAACCCACGGGCTCAGGCTTTCGTTTTCATTTCTGTCGTATTTTCCTCGGAGTTTACTCGAATTTTCCTCGAATTTCTCTTGTCACTTCATCAAGGTTTGTAGCAGTGACAATAAACTAAGCATAAACATTAGGATTTACAAGAGTTTCTCCCGTTAAAGCAGCCACCATGGTTAAACGCATCTTCAAAGACGTGCCCTATAAGCCAGTTGACAATGGGCGCCTCTTTACCATTGGAAGAGATCGTGGCTTCAATATATCCGCCTGGCCCATATTCCGTCGAGAGTGTCCGCCAGAAATCATGGCATTGGCACTAGAGGTACCATCACCCAGGAGGCGCTGCCATGGCGCCAGGTCCAGAAGATTGAGGAGACGGGAAATTCTAGACCAGGAGATGCAGCATGAGACTGGGCCGCTGATGAACAATGATTTCGAAGAAAGTACCGTCATGGGGAATGGCTATAATATGATGGAAAATAGCCTCAATGAAAACGTGGTGGAACAACCTAAGATCATACAACACCTAGAGTTTCCGGCAGACTTAATGGAACTTGAACCCCAGTTGTTAGTTGAGATAAATATGGATTTATCCGGTGATGTACGTATGGAGGATGCAAATGAAACTGATGAAATGCAGAATCTACATATGGAGGGAGAGATACAGGGCTATGAAGAGCCGAAGAATGAGTATTATGAGGAAAAAGGTGAATATGAGGAGAAACAGGGGGATTATTTATTAAATGAAGAAAATAAAGTTGCTTATAATAAGAAGGAGAATAAATATTATCAGGAAGAAGGTGAATATGATGAACAAATGAATGAGAATCTGCCAATTGGCAATGAAGTTGAAGAGAAAAAGAAAGTCCCTTATAATAAGGAGAATGAGTATTATGAGGAAGAAGGTGAATATAATGACGAAATTAATGAGAATCAGCCAATTGGCAATGAAGTCAAAGAGGAAGAGAAAGTCTCCTATAATGAGGAGATGAATGAGTATTATGAGGAAGAAGGTGAATATGATGACGAACAGGTCGATGATTTAGAAATTAAAGAAACCGACGAGGGACAGAAAGTATTTTATAATGAGCAGGAGAATGAGTATTATCAGGAAGAAGTTGAATATGATGAACAAATGTATGAGAATCTGCCAATTGGCAATGAAGTCGAAGAGAAAGAGAAAGTCCCTTATAATAAGGAGAATGAGTATTATGAGGAAGAAGGTGGAAATGATGACGAACAAGTCGATGATTTAGGAAATAAAGAACCCAAAAAGAAAGAGAAAGTAGCTTATAATGAGGAGCAGAATGAGTATTATCAGGAAGAAGTTGAATATGATGAACAAATGTATGAGAATCTGCCAATTGGCAATGAAGTCGAAGAGAAAAAGAAAGTCCCCTATAATCAGCAGCAGAATGAGTATTATCAGGAAGAAGGTGAATATGATGACGAACCAGTCGATGATTTAGGAAATAAAGAAACCAAAAAGCAAGAGAAAGTAGCTTATAATGAGGAGCAGAATGAGTATTATCAGGAAGAAGGTGAATATGATGAACAAATGAATGAGAATCTGCCAATTGGCAATGAAGTCGAAGAGAAAGAGAAGGTCCCCTATAATGGGGAGCAGAATGAGTATTATGAGGAAGAAGGTGAATATGAGGAGAAACAGGGGGATTATTTATTAAGTGAAGAAAATAAAGTTGCTTATAATAAGAAGGAGAATAAATATTATCAGGAAGAAGGTGAATATGATGAACAAATGAATGAGAATCTGCCAATTGGCAATGAAGTCGAAGAGAAAGAGAAAGTCCCCTATAATGAGGAGCAGAATGAGTATTATCAGGAAGAAAGTGAATATGATGACGAGCAAGTAGATGATTTAGGATATAAAGAAACCAACGAGGGAAAGAAAGTATCTTTTAATGAGCAGGATAATGAGTATTATGAGGATGAAGGTGAATATTATGACGAACAGGTCGATGATTTAGGAAATGAAGAAGCCAACGAGGGAGAAAAAGTAGCTTATAATGAGGAGAAGAATCTGTATTATGAAGAAGAAGGTGAATATGAGGAAGATCAACCAATTGAAAATGAAGTCCAAGAGGTAGAAGAGGATACGAATTTGGGAGAAGGTGAATATGAAATGGATGATACAGATAAAAAGATTGACGAAGAGCATAATGAGGAAGAGAAAGCCTATAATGCCGAAGAGGATGAGTTTTTTAATGAAGAAGGTGAATATGAGCTAGAACAGGAAGATGAATATGATGACGATCCGTTGACAGATGAATATGATGACGATCCGTTGACAGATGAATATGATGACTAAAAATGTGAAAAAGAATATAGAGAAAAAGATTAAAAAGAACAGAAAAAAAAGAACCCAGTATCTCAAAAAAAAAGCCTTAGAAGCTAACATTGAAGTCTGAAGAAAGAAAATGAACATAACATAGAAACCCAGTATCTCAAAAAAGCCTTAGAAATTAACATTGAAGTCTGAAGAAGTAAATAAATGTATTATTTGATTTAATTTATGTTATTAGCAAGAAACAACACACACAACAATGTAAACATTTGAAATTTGAAGAAATAGAGTTTATGTTAATTTAATGTAATTTTTTAAAAGAACTTTAAAGCAAAAGAAATGTCTTGTTTAAGTTAACTTGTATTGATATATAAAATATATTTTGTTTATCAACTTTACTGTTTGTTAAATACTAATTACAGGGTATCTTCTGGTTGCTATTAAGTCTCTGAATACCTCTCGTTTGTTTATATAGCTCGGTTACTGGTTTTTTCGGTGGTTCTGGGTATAGTTTTTGGGCGCTGGTCTCGTGACAAGCCAAGCGCATAACCGCAAAACAGACGCGTGGCGCTCTACAGGGGGAGTGGGGAGAACCGAGAGTGGTGTCCACCCCAAACTCAAACACAGACGCACACACATCCCTCACACTACACACATACTTCGAGTGGGCGACCATTTCATTTTCAATTTGTAGAGCATACTTTTTGGGGCTTTCTCTTCGTTTCTATGCCAATCTGCGTTTCTCATGAGTCTTCAATCTCGCACTCTTTTTTTTATGGAAAAAGGCGAAAGGAGAAAAGAAAAAGATGATGGTAGAGAGAGAGAGAGAGAAAGTGGGGGGATTCCCCACTTTTCGCTTTCTCCTTGACAAATCTCTCTTCCTCTCTCTCTCTGTCGTATTTTGCCTTTGTGGTCATGCCCACTTGATGCGTATTTAATTAACGTTAATTGAAATTGATTTATGTATGCAGCCTGCGTACGATTGCCACCCCTTTTTGTGTGCCGCCTTATAGGCCATCCCTCCCCCCCCTCTAAAAAATATGCTGCGTGAAATTTGTGGCAAGTCCTCCTCCTTCCCTCCCTTCCTCCCCCCGGAGTGGGGTTTATTTTCTCCTTATTTTATTTGCCAAAACAGGCAGAGATTCCGAGAGGGTTTTAACTCAATTGACAAATTTTCGGCATATTGAAGCATGAAAAATTTCAGGGGAAATTGGGGTTCTCATTAAATTGATTAAACCAAATGCAAACAGATATTTCTTTTTTTGGGGATGAAATTGCGTAGAAAAGTGAAAAATAATTTGGGGAAAATGGGAAAAGTATAAGAGAAAATTGAAATCATTAATGTTAGATGAATAATTCATTTATTTAAGGTATGAGATTTTATAATTCTTAAGATTTTAGTAATAAATCTTGTTTTCTTTTTACTTTAAAGTATAATAAATCTTTTTCAACGCAGTTATATGAACAAACAATAAATCTAGGGTATTTTTAAAATGTATTTATTATTTGTAAATTATTTTTCTTTGTAAACAATTAAACCAGTATTAATTTAATTTTTTTTAAAAGTAATTATAAATAAAATTTTTGCAAATTTGTTCAATTTTTAACGATGAAATCCCTTATAAAATTTGAAAAAAAAATTTTGGTCAAATTTTAATTTCTCCAAAACTTACCTAGATCAATTCTGCTGTCGATGCTGGTCAAAAATATATATGCTTTATAGCATCGGAAATGACTCATTCACTGATTAAAAATATAAAACCTTCAGCTAGATTCTAAAAATAATTTTTTTTTATTTAATTTTTTTTTTTTTGGTAAAAATCAAATGTTAAAAAAGGCATAACTTAGTCAAAAATGCATTAAATTCAATTTGGAAAACATTTCTGTGTTAGTTTTTTGAAGGTTAATAAATCTGCATACTCAATTTAATATTTAAATAAATTACAATTTTTATCGAATTTTTTCATAATTTTAACGATGTAACCCCTTATAAAATTTTGAAAAAATTATTAACATTTTTTTTACTTTAAAACTTGGCTAGAACGATTCGGCTATCGAAGCTGATCAAGAATATATATGATTTATATGGTCGGAAATAACTCCTTCACAGCCTTACAAGCTTCAGACTATAATTAATGTAATGTTATTAAAATAATTAATCAAGACATTAGCAATTGTTATTTTTTTGTGATATTAAACTATAAATTAATTTTGCAAATTTGCATTATATATTTATTATTTTTATTAGCTTTTATTCATTAACTTTATTATTTTCAAGCTTTAAAAGAACATTAAAATTGTTATTAAACTCTTACGTTATAAAATTCTTCATAACACTTATGTTCCTCAACAATTCTAATTGCCTTGCAAGAATTTTCACTCATTTCACTATTGGAAATTAATAAAAAGTAATCCAATCAAAGCAAACATAGAAACAGAAATTAAATATATAAAACTTGAACTTATACCAAACATCTGGGCCACCTACACCGCCCATTTACTTTGTTTTCCGCCCACAAAAATTAACGAGCTTGGAAAGGGGGAAAACTGGGGAAAAAAAGAAAAGCATTCGATGCGTGTTTGCGCAATTTCCACATCATTAATTTTGTGTTTCTGGCATCCTACATCTACATTCTCTTCGCTCGCTTTTATGCTGATTTAATTAGAGGAGAAATCTTTTCCCCACTTTTAGTCTTGCCGCTTTTATTGCATAATTTTAGGTGTGCAAGCTGAAATCGAAAATGAAAATGGAGATGAAGTCCGAGGGGGGAGGACTGCAATCAGCCAAAACAGCAAACAAAGAACAATAACAATAAAGCTCGAGAAAATAACGAAAATTCATCATAAACAGGCGGCTGCTGCCGCTTGGGGCTTTTGTGGGGGGAAAGCAAGTCCTGTTCCCAAGTCCTGTGCCCAAGTTCTGGCCTCTCCAAAGATCGTAAATTAGAAATGGCATTTTATGCGTGCGCAAATAAAAATTCTGTGTGTGCGGCACACTTTTCAGATATCTTTTTGGGTCCTCAGGCTACACACAGAGAGAGAGAGAGAGAGAGTCCTGAGACCCTCGTCCTGGCATAAAAAGTTTCATTTTCCCTTCTCGTAAAATTACTCATACGACTTGTTAACCGTTTCACCAGCTCACAAAAGATACACATTGATTTTCCCGCCTTTTACTCATCTCGTTTTCTCTTTCTCTTCTTGCAGGTGAGTGCTTGTGCTTTTCCGGATCCGCTTTTTTCCCTCTGAGTATGTATATGTAAGTCCTTGGAAATGGGAGACGAATGGTATTGAATTCTATTGACGTTGTTGAAGTTGGAAGCTGAAATCGGAGACGCAGGCATCTGCGGGTTCTCCGCTTTCCCGGGTATTAAATGTTCGCTTTGATTCAATGGCAGTGTAAACAAATGAGATTTTATTTATTTTTTTTGCCAAAAAAACCTTGGCTCAGTCAAGTGCACTGTAGGAAAATGAGGTTTTATATGTATAAAAACTACCTTAAAATTTGCAGAAGAAATTCTTAAGATGAGAGAGATTTAAGCAGAAAGGTTTTTAAAGGTATAAAGGAAAAGATATGCTTTCTTTTGTGATTGAAATTCCCTCTAAATATATTATCTAACTCCCTAGAACCTTACCCCTTATTTTTTCCAGTGCAGAAACTCCGCATTTTCGGTACGTTTTTCTCCCCCCTTGAAACCGAAGTAACAACAAAGGAATTTTCCTAATTATGCGTTCACCTGCACGTACACACAAAAAAAGGGGAGTAGGAGTAAGAGGAGGAGGAGGAGGAGTGGTAGCAAAAGCAGGACTAAAAACCCAGTAAAACAGCAAAAGAGATTTTCCACGACACACCCACTCACTCTCCTCCCCCTCTAAGTTTTGACCTTCCCAAAAGCCAAATGGACCATGAAAACAAAAATCGCACAACAATTTTTGGTAAACTGTAAATGCAAAAACCAAAAGAGCAAAGGGAAGCAGGAGGAGTCCGAGGCGATGGACTTTCTGTGATTAACAATTACACACAAAAACCCGGGAGGAAAGCTAAAACTCACAGTTTTCCAGCTTCCCAGGTTTCCCCGTGTTCCATTCCGCATTCCAAAACCAACAAAAACAGCGGCCACCCCCTCCGGCATTCCATTCCTTTTTGTTTTTCAAGGCGGAACAGGAACGGGAACGGGGAGTTCGCTACGTGAGTTTGCCATAAGCAATTTAGCTAATTTAGCTACCAAAACAACAAGGACACGCTGCCGAGGACTAAAGCGAAATAATCGAAGCGGAAGAATAACACAAAACCGAGGAAGGATGTGGGGGAAAGGGCTTTGTAGAGGAAGTTTTTTGGAGTTGGAAGATGAAATGGTTGAGAGGAATGTAGAGGAAGTCCTGCATTAAATTTAAGAGATCTATGAAAGGATTAACACTTTTTCATATGAGATATTTTTTTGGACAAATTAATAGCAAAAAAATTCATAACTTAGCCAAAAGGTGATTAATTTCAAATCGGAAAGCAGTTTTATGCTAGTTTTTATTAGGGCAATAAACCTGCATATTTAGTTTGAAAACTTTGAAAAATGAAAATTTTCACAATTTTAATGATGTAACCTCTTATAAAATTTTAACAAAATTTTGCAAAAAAAAATTTTTTTCTGGTTGACATGCCAGATCGATTTGGCAGTTGATGCTGATCAAGAATATATATGATTTATAAGGTGGCAAATGACTCCTTCACAGCTTTTTAAGCTATTTTCTTTCTATATAAGTGTAATTTTTTAATAAAAAATTGCCTATTCTTTAGCGAAGATTTCACTGTACTTTACCAAACAATGTCATATTATTCTACAGAAAATCCGCTATTCCTTACCACAGAATTTCAGATTCTAACCTATTTCTTCTCAAAATAATTCCCTATGCTTGACCAATGAATTCTACATTTCTTGCCCAAGAATTCCTTAATCCTTATCAAAGATATACCCCTTAATCTCCTCTAATTTCGATAGATTCTTGCAACTTTTAAGAAATTCTGCAACTTTTGGCTTGCTGAAGGAAACAAAAGGAAGTGCATGAAAATAACAATAAATGTAATACAGTGGCAGCCAAAAGTGGATGCACAGTGCCAGCAGTAATAATAATAATAGTAATAGCAATAATAATAATAATAATACTCTTCCTAAGGACACGCTCCCTTTTGCCCTTTTTTTTGGAAGGAGAGAATCTTTTGCCGGACAGGTCGCTCGCTCCCTAATAACTGTTTCT